GGTGTAAAACGTGTCCACCGGTCCCTGGTGTAAAACGTGTCCATCGGTCCCTGGTGTAAAGCGTGTCTATCGGTCCCTGGTGTAAAACGTGTCCACCGGTCCCTGGTGTAAAACGTGTCCACCGGTCCCTGGTGTAAAACTTGTCCACCGGTCCCTGGTGTAAAACGTGTCCACCGGTCCCTGGTGTAAAACGTGTCTACCGGTCCCTGGTGTAAAACGTGTCTACCGGTCCCGGGTGTAAAACGTGTCCACCGGTCCCTGGTGTAATACGTATCTACCGGCCCACCAAGCTCAAAATTTTTGGGAAATGCTGACCTGAGAAACATTATAGCGGATGCATCAACAAGGGGACATTCTGTATTTCTACCTCCCTTGTTTGAGTTGACATTTGTCCTTAATGCTTCTTCTAGATGAATATCACCCAGTGACGTCACTAGGGGGTGCGGGAATAGCTGACACACTGGGTGACACCCTCACTGGGGGAAAGGGGGGGGGGCGATACCTAGGGTTTCCAATTTCTCAAAATAAGCCTACGGACAAACATTCTCAATCTCCACATTGGTTCCGGTCTGGCCAAATTGTTTGAAGGACACATTTTTACAGTTATGTTGGTGAAGCTATCAGACTAAAACAATCAAATATCTATACCACTGTATTTCTTTGAATTAATCTATTATGTCAAATATCACATGCCACGTGATTATATGTTATTTGATTACGAGACATAAAATTATTCTCATGTGTAAGCATATTGTATGACATTAGTATATTGTATGACATTAGTATATTGTATGACATTAGTATATTGTATGACATTAATAATAATAATAATAATAATAAGACGTTTTATATAGTGCGGTACCCCGCCTAGGGCTGTGCTCACCGCGCTGTACATAAAAATTTTATCAAAAGAGACATAATCATGACATTAAAATAAAATACATTTATGAAATAAATTAGTATATTGTAAGACATTAGTATATTGTATGCATTAGTATATTGTATGACATTAGTATATTGTATGACATTAGTATATTGTAATGACATTAGTATATTGTATGACATTAGTATATTGTATGACATTAGTATATTGTATGACATTAGTAAATTGTATGACATTCTCACCTGTGTTTTCTAATTTATGTCTATAAAAGTTTGAAGCCAGCTTTAAAGAATGTTTGTACAACGTCTCATGTCTTGTGTGGACAGCCTCAAGTTATTACGGACATCTATGGACATTTGCGGACATTTACAAACATTTTCGGACATGTGTGGACGTTTGCGAACGTTTGTGGACATTCACGGACATTTGCTGACATTTATGGCTTTTTCCGGACATTTACGGGAAAGTCATTTTTTGTTTCTATTTCTACGGACTGTTTGTAAATGTACGGACGGTTTGCAACTCTAATGACCCCGAATGGAAAACTGAAAAAAATGTGACGGTGCTCGCTCGAATCGGTCTCTTAACATATCTCAACTAAATATGAGAGCAGGATGCCACAAGACAGAGTGTGACCAGAAACGAAATGCCTCCAGAAGAAAGGTTGTCGCAAGCAGAGGCGTCACTAGAGTTGGTGTCACCCGGTGCGGTCAACATGGTGGAATCCACCCCACCCTCTCCCCACACACACATACACAGACCTACACAGTGTCATTCTTAACCAGATCATATAGAATCAATTATATTATTAATCGTAGATAAAAACCTAAAGAGACTTATGACATAGGAGTCAGGAGACATAGGTTTCAGGGAGATGCGTTAAAAAAAATGCATTGAATTTACTTTCTATTGAAACATTAATCTCCACAGTCAAAACCCTTACTTCCCTATTTTTCAAAGACGATCTCGGGATTGATTTTGTCTGTTGAAAGTGATAAGGTAACGAATTTTAACTATGATGAAGTGATCGACAGGTTTGCAGCTTTGAAGACCAGGAAGGTCAAGTAGAAACTGTTCATACAATTGCTACAATAAAAGTAATTTTGATGATTTTTGTAAAAGCTGTTAAAAGCCCTAGTGACGCTTTCGTCTCGGACAATGGATTTTATACAGAAGTTTGATAGACAACACCTTTGATAGACAACACCTTTGGTAGACAACACCTTTGGTAGACAACACCTTTGATAGACAACACCTTCGATAGACAACACCTTCGATAGACAACACCTTTGGTAGACAACACCTTTGGTAGACAACACCTTTGGTAGACAACACCTTTGATAGACAACACCTTTGATAGACAACACCTTTGGTAGACAACACCTTTGGTAGACAACACCTTTGATAGACAACACCTTTGGTAGACAACACCTTTGGTAGACAACACCTTTGATAGACAACACCTTTGGTGCACGTATTTGTTTAAAAAAAGGCTGTTATTAAATTTTTTTTAGACTGGTGCTCTTTCAAAGAGGTACTAAAAGGAA